GGCTTTTAAAGCTTTCAGTGGTGTGATGATTGGCTTCATGCGCTCCAGCTTGAGACCCATAACTGGGTGGAGCCCGAGAGGCCTCACCGACGAAGAGGTCTGCTTGTTGCTGCGAGTCCTTCCGCCTCGGCTCACACTTGTGGTTGCGCACTTGAGACATCTTGTTAGTGTTGCTGCTTGGCTTGATGAATACTCCTTGGTTGTCTTGCTTGAGGAAGAGCAATGGTTGCGGGCTGTCATGCAGGACCTTGGTGAATTGAAGCGCGTGGTTGCTCTGGAACTCTTGTTGCCGTGTTGGCTTTGTTTTCGTCAGTGGAGGTCCTTCCTTGCACAGCTTGTGACTGAGGGTGCTGCTTTCCGTTTGGCGATTAGAGCGGCCGTTCGCAAATGGTCGACTGGTGAGGACAGCCATCGGCAAAAAGTGGCAGATAAAGCAACCTCCTTGACTGAGCTCTACAATGGGGGAGGGGTGATGTGGCATGAGCGTGATAGGTTTGTTGGGGACCGGACCTTTGCATGCAGCGTTTGCCACAGACTCTTCTTCAACAAGGCCGCTCTTGGATCTCATTGTGCACGCCTGCATGGAGTCGGGTCCAAAAAACATGCACTTGGAGCCTTGACAGCTTGTCAGAAGTGTAGTGTCGAGTTTTGGACCGTGGCACGTCTTTGGGATCATGTGCGCCGGCGACCGGGCTGTTTGGATGCTGTTCTTGAAAGCGATTGCCATTTTGGCGAAGCTGCTAAAAACACGGTTGATGCCATGCTCATGCCAGCCACTAGCTTGATCGGACCCAAGCCTTTCTGGGCATGTTTGAGTCCGCAGCATCAAACAGCAGAAGTTCAGCTGGCCAGCACAACAACTGATCTGCAAAGGTGGCAGAAGGCTTGGAACGCTTTCGTTCAGGATAAGCACTCCAACATTAGCCCCGCTAACCTTAGCAGTGTTATCCGTAAGTTTTGCCAGGATGTGGGTTGGCGCAAGACAGCCTCTGAAGGCCGTTTGCTACAGGATAGCTTAGGCGCGATGTGCATTGCCCTTGTTGCTGGTCAAGGCAAGGTCTTTGGACTTCACATCATGTCCAGGGACAATGCTTGGGCCATTTGCCAAGAGGGTATGCAAGCAGTGGCGGCCGCTGCAATTTCTTTTTCATTCTTTTCAAATGCAAGGAATTTAATACGCACCAGATTGGACTAGCAGATCGATGATGATGAAACCCAGGGGGCGCAAGCTAAAGTATAGCACAAAGGGAAGATTTGATATGAGGGGGGGTGGTCAGTAGTATTCGGAGGAGGGGATTACTTCTACAAGGGATCCTGGTCTTGGTGGTGGTGAATGTGAATTTCTCACCCTTCGGCCTAATCACAATTGGGTTACAGACGCGAGGATGGACAACATGTCTGAGAAGTTAAGCTGAACCAAAACCGAGACACAGCTAAAACCCTAAGTTTAAGGTTTACGGTAAACCCCGAAGCCTAAACCTGAAACTCCGAACTCTTAAGCCCCAACCGGGGGAGCTAGCACCCCAAACCTTAAACGCTCAACCCCAGTCCCAAGCTCTAAGCTTGAAGCAGTAAAAAACCTCAACCCTAAACCCTAAGTTCGAAGATCTCAAACCATAAACCTCCACCTCTCAAACCTACACCCCAAACTCTACACCCTACCTTCACCCCGCAAGCAGCCCCTGTAGAGCCCAACTACCCGCAAGTAGAACCTCCACCAGCCATGGTCTAAACTCCTTAAAGGGGTTTGTGTAAGGAGTACTTAGGGGATACTTGGAGTTCAGACTATGGTTGACCTAGATCCTAAACCCGAAGCCCGAAACCCTAAGCCCTAGGGGATTTCAGCTTTGCCACTCGAGGCTCTGCGCATGTCAAGTGGGGATTCGAGCATGGCAAGACAGGCGATGCCACAGCAAAGAAGCTCCTGGGCTATAGTCCCCCTTAGGGTTTAGGGTTTAGGGTTTTAGGTAGATAGAATATGGGGTATATGGGGGTCTTATTAAAATGCACCCAAAGTCATATTCTATCTACTTAAGGGGGTCTAAATCTTTTTTCTTGCTTTTCCTTGCCACTTTTGGGGTTTATAGATTAAGGGTTTAGGGCAGTCTGGGATTGAAGGTTTAGGGTTTGGGGCCTGGGGCAGGTAGGGAGTCATGTAGAGGCCACTCTAGGGGTCCATGCCCCCAATCCACTAAGGAGCCGGTCAGTCTTTTGGGTGGTCCGCCTACCTAGCAATATTGAGCACAAGAAATCATGGTAGCTAATGGTACTTATGTTCAGGTCCTTAGATATTCCTTTTATTCTAGTAGTAGTGGGTGGGCGGTCCTTCTGAGCTAGTTTTTGCTTTCCAGGACCTACACGGGCACATTACGGGGCTTGGGATTTGGGTTTCGGGATTAGGATTCAGTGTTTCTCGAAACAAGTGGACCTTGGACCCTAAGTATGTAGGAACTACCTCTGGATGATGGGACTCCTATCAGACATCACGTGAGGAATATCTTCAGAAGTCCTGTTGTAAGGAAGAATCAATCATATTTGTCTTTCATCCTTATTTCGGGGACCCCAAAAAGGTATCCCTAATTTTGGGAAACCCTAAACCCTAAACAGTCGTTTCCATTTTCTTTTCCATGATCCCTACATAACCCTTATAAAGCCCATTAAGGGGGCCGGTGATTCGGAGCAACCAATCTTTCATCCCAATTCAAGCAGAACTGCAGCAATCACGCCCACCACCTAAACGGAGACCTCTACGGGGAAATTTGGGATTATGATGATTGAGGAGCTTCTTGGTTTTGACCAGACCCTAAACCCTAAACCCAAACCGGTCAGTTAGATACTTTGTTTCGACCGCCAAGGCTTTATGAGAAGCTACACTACTGGACAAGCATCCAGGATGATGCATGGTATAGGGGTTTATGGGCATTAGGCTTTCCCAAGATTAGGGGTACCTTTTGGGGGGTTCCCATATTAAGGATTATCGTATTTTGGTGTATATATTCGGGTCCCCTATCTTTGGAAACTACCATATTTACAGGGCATGAAGTCTGTTTTGGGCAGAGCACCCTAAACCCTAAACCTCCTGCTTCATCCGCCGTGAAGAAGTAGCCCTGCGAACCCGCATGTGACAAAGCACGGGGCCAGCAACTGCATGCCGTGAAGCTAACAGCAGTTTAGGTTTTAGGGTTTAGGGTTTAGGGTCACGTTTCATGTGGTTTGGCAAGACTTACAGTTGGCCTTCTTTGCAGACGCGTGCCAGTCTCGGATTCCCTCCGCGCGCCTGAGAACTGGATATTGACCTCTTGGGGTTGAGGCAGAAACTCCATGCCTTCAGATTGGGTACTGCCCTCACCCAGTAACAGTCTATATTAGGGGTCCTATTCAGGGCTGTATATAACCATATTATATTCATCATCCAACTGTTAGTGAGGGGGGGCAGTACCCAACCTTCAGACATTGCCAAAATCTATCTGAACCAAATGTCCAGTCATGCGGGACCTAAGAACCTATCTGAACTGTAAATTGTTCGGAAGGAAGCCCCGCTTGGTTTGCAGGCCAACAGCCATGCGGCGTATACGTTTCAGCACGAAGCTCTGGATACACCTCAAAGTGCCTAGATTTTTCTCTCCCAAGAAGTTAATAAATCCATAGGCATGTGTGCTTTGCTAAGGCATGAATCCGGACAAGGCCAGTATGGATGATTATCACAAGTTCTATTACTGTGCACCGCCGGACGAGAAGCAAAAGTGCGGCCAGCCTCCTTGTCACTTGGTTGTGCTGGAAATTAGCCCAATAAGGGAGACTCAAATGGAAAAGCGGAACATGAAATCAAAACTTGGGTTATTATGTGAGCCTTTCGCAACTGACTATGGGCATGTGGGAGCTTGAATATCAACACTCGGGTTTCGGGCTTAGGGTTGTAGACAGGGTTGTCCCTTTTGGTCTTCCTATTTGTTTCGCGCGCATATTCCCTGTTATGTAGAGTACCCAAACGGGGGACCACAATCTGGACTAAACCATACATGTGGGTCTCTAGACACGTTCTAGGGTTTAGGGGGTAGGGTTTAGGGTTAAAGAGAGCCCAGTTCGAGAAGCCACCAGTTCGCAGGCTGGGGCTTCTGGCGTGATGTGACGGGTCAGAACATCCGCACACATCATGATTGACAAGGGTTGAGGGGTTTAGGGCTTAGGGGTTTGCAGAAGAGAGCTTGAGAGACCTCCTGTGCTTGTGATAGCCTGCGACCTTTTGAGATTCAAAGGAATGATCCTTCAAGTTCTGGGGCCCTAAACCCTAAACCCTAAACATGCTGGAATCCGGCGGATCCAGCATCACAGGTATTCCATAGGTAGGGAAACACTTGGGTCGCCAGATCACAGCCTGCATGCTGCTATACATACTCTCACAAACAGCAATTAGGGTTTAGGGTTTAGGGTTTAGGGCTTCGGGTTTAGGGTTTAGGGGTTTAGGGCTTCGGGCTTAGGGTTTAGGGGTTTAGGGTTTAGGGGTTTAGGGTTTGATATACCTACCTAGGATATCCGGAGGCGCGCGCAAAAAGATCTTGCCTGTAAAATTTGGATGGCCCAGCTTGCTGCAAGGTGTTCGCGGCAGTGAGTACGCCCTGAGCACACAGACACACCAAATGAACCATAATCTAAACTCCTTAAAGGGGGTTATATAAGGGATTATATAGGGCACTGCTATAAAGGTTATTAAGGGGGATACCAGGAGTTCAGACTATGGCTCACATGTTTCAAATTCTGTGAACCGCAAACGAGGTGACCAAAGCGTTCTTTGACACGGTATATAACTGATAGGCCAAGTTTCTGTTTCACTGCACATTTTCCTACTTCATGATTCTCCCTTATGCTAGCTTAGTTTCAACTGCATAGGTACCCCTTTGTTGAGAAGCCCCCCATGCTCTGCCACTGCTCGTCACCCATGTGGCATTTTCTCAAAGTGACAACTATCCGGTCTTTCGCCAGGGTATTAAGTACTCTAAAGAGTCACATGTGGATTTGAAATGTAGGGTAAACGAGTAGGAACGATGGGCTTAAGACTCCCTAAGCCCTTAAACCCTTGGCGTCTAGTCCATTCATTCCCAGGTCACTGCAGCTATCCGCCCTGCCACATGTGTCATTTTCCAGAGCGACCGAGGGGATGCACCAAAGACTCCACAGACGCTGCCCTGTCAAGGATGTAGATAGAGGGTTACAGGTTTAGGGTCTAGGGTCTATAGAGTCTAGGGTTTATGTTGGCGTGTGTTTTGGAACCAGTGGAAGCCTTCTGAAAGTATTATGGAAACTGCCCACGTTCTAATTGCCCACTATAAATTGTTTCAGCTATATGGTTGGTTTGTCAATATTATGGTCCCTTTTTGGATCCCTACTATAATGTGGAACCTGTTATGTAGGGTACCCGAAAAGGGACCATAATTGGGACAACCACCCATATGGTTGAGGTGAGGGTGTAGGGTTTGGCATTACTTTGCTGTAGCTGGACAAGCTAACCTGCTTCCAACCTGGAGTCGCCATAGGTTATAAGCAAGTCTGGTGGGATATGGGTGGTTGTCAAAATTATGGTCCCTTTTTGGGTACCCTAAATATTGGGTGCCGTATCATAGTAGGGATCCTAAAAACACCATAATTCTGACAACAACCCATATTATTCACCCTAAACCCTAAACCCAGCTATTTCTTCTAAACAAGGGGCTTAAGTCCTCGGCTGAAAGCTCGGGCCTTTGGCAATAGTACATGCACACTAGGTCCTACCCGGTTTAGGGTTTGGGCCTGAGGGTCCTAGGTTTCGGGGAAGTGTATGATTGTTGGATGCTTGACCCCATGGAGCAAGAGGATTCTGATGCAGAAGCGTGACGGCACCATGGAAAAGCCGACAGGAAGGCTGCCGGGCGTGTTGTGGCCTCACCAAAAGGTGGCCCACAGGAGCAAGACAGGACCCTGCAATTCAACAATGGCTGGCTGGACATGATACTCCAAGGCAGCAAAGTCGCCGAAGTACGAGGGACAGCAGCCAAACAAGGCGGCACCTGGCTTGGGAAGAAGGGCGTGATCACCGCATGGGCCGACATTTGCAAGATCCAAGTCCTGACGATGAAGAGCAAACAGGACCTCAAAAACGCCGAACACCTGCACAGGGTGCACGATCCCAGCCTCATCCGGTACAAGAAGATTCACCTGTGGCTTCTGGGAGACGTGCAAGCCGTAGGGCCATTTCGCTACAAAGTCAAGCAAGGTCCAGTGACATGGGCGAAGTACAGCAAATCCTGAAATCACGATCAGAAATCCGAGCACAGCAGTCGGAGAAACTCTGGGCACCACATGTTGCTTCTTGAGCAGGTCTGGGAGAAGGACCGCAGGCCCATCTACATGGAGTCGGGCAAGGTGCAGCGCATGCAGATTGCAGAAGAGCCGGATCACTTCACCCTCTTTCCAGACCCGAGGCCCGCAACTCAGACCAGGGATGTGTGCACCGCACCTGAAGAACCTTTGCTTGCCAGGACAGCCGAATGGCTGAGTGAGGGGATGTCAGACAACGAGCTGTCCAGAAGAAGAAATGACATCCCAAGATGGCGCTATCTGGACTTTCAACTTGATTTGACCCGCGACTTCCTCTTGGAGCACTCGCTCAAAGCAGGCGGGCTGCAGCGGAGTACGGTTCTTAGCTTCCAGAAACTGCCCCCCGAAATGGCGTTCTAGGGTTTCACACACGGCACTAAATTCTTCCAGCCGCGTGCAAAAACAGTGCGCTTCTCCTTAGGGGGGACCCCAGGCAAGGAACCCCAAGAAAACAGTAGGAATCTACTTACCAGGGTCCTTACATTCCTCTAATGCTCCTACTATCCTTCCATGTTTGGGTCCTTACTGGAGTGAGTTTATGGGGCTCAGTATCGCACTTGAAGTTGGGGCTTCGGGGTAAATGTTTAGGACTTGCAGCTATGGAATTCCGGATTTGGAGTCCAGGGTGAGTGCCAGCCAGAAAGCGCAAGCATGAATGAGCCCTAAACCCTGAACCCTACAGAGCTTCGCTGGGCGGCTGAGTTCCTACGGGGCAGGATACACGGTCTGCGGTATCCGGCCACAACTCGAATCGCAAATGCTAAGCCCACAACACACAATGCTTTGGCTGGCCGGTACTTGTGTCACGATGACTTCAGTGTTGCAGGGATGCACTTCGCTGTTCAATTGAAATGATGGTTTCCCAAAATCAGGGGTAGTTTTTTCAGGGTTCCTATAAACAAGACTCTAGTATTTTGGGGTCTTTATATATGGGTGAAATTAGGGTTTCCAAAAAGCATGGGTACTTTTTTCGAGATCCTATTATACAGGTTATAGTATTTTAGGGTCTCTCTCTATATATATATATATGTGGGTCCCCCTTGTTGTTGGAAACTGCCAAATGCATTTTCAAGTCCCCCGCCCCTCTCCCTTGAACACCGGTAAGTCATCAAGGACATGCGATGCAAGCCGCCCCAGAAAGCGATGGACTACAATGGATGGGCATGGCCTGATGTCAAAATCAAGGGCAGCTTCGCGTAAACCTCAAACCCTCAACCTTAAGCAGCGTGCGGGCTGACATGGCCCTTTGGGTAGTGCTAGTGCAATGGTTTAGGGTTTAGGGTAAAGTGAGCATGCAGGACGGGAGCTCCTGAACCCTGAGCCCCTGCCACCTGTAGAGGCGTACACAATGTTGTCGGTAACAACTTTATAGTCCCCCTCAGGTAGATAGACTATGGCTCTGGGTATATTCTAATCAGATCCCCATATACCCCATATTTGACTACTTCAGGGGGACTATATCTCAAGTGAGGCAAAGGTCCATACCACGTCTTCGCCATCGGCCACGCGTCTGCAGCGAATATACTTGTTTTTAAGTCAGTAAGGGTTCCTGCATGGTCGCAGTTGGCGACAGCATTTATGGTTTGTCCCCAACCCCGAAAGGGAGAATCAAATAGAAAATCCATCGATTCGAAAATGGAATTGGAACTGCGGTAATACGACTGGGATAATTGTATGGCTCATCCCTACACCTTAAACCCGAAGGTTAGATTATACTCACTGAGTCCGCCTGGCCCCCCCATAAACGGACTTTAATGGGAACCCCAAACAGGGAACCCCAAGAATACAGTAGGAATATAATGGAATATATTCCTACTATATTCTTGGGGTTCCCTGTTTGGGGGTCCCATTAAAGTCCCTTTACCCAAGTGAGCATCCTGCAGCTGAGTACGGAGAGCTGGAACCAGGATCTTACCGAATAATCTTAGGGTTTAGGGTTTAGGGCACTCCTTCCGGGATACTCCGACCATTTCATTGTAATCCTAAATCTATCCCCAAACCCTATTGCCCCAATTAAGGCCCAAACCCGAAATTAGTAGTGTGCGATATTGCGGGGTCCAGATTCAGGGCTGTGTAAGGATCATTTTAACGCTATAAACCTAAAATAGTCTCTGTCTACCATGCTGCTGGTGAGGACAAGGACGGCTCAAGAGGATATCTTTGGCCAGGGTTCATAATTCCCTGAGCTCACTTTGAGATGCGCCAGTTCGTATAGGTTGCGCTGCAACCCTAAACCGTAAACAAACTCTGCATGAATGAGCCCTACATTCGGGCCACAAACTTATTGCCTTTGCTTTCAGCCTCATGTCTAGCCATCCATAGCATCGAGAAGCGTGCTGGGGTTTTTCTCTAAACTCAAATCCCCGAATTAGGGATACTTTAGGAGTCCCGTAAAAAGGAGTAGCATTTTGGGGTCTATATCAGGGTCCCCTCTATCTATGAAACCTGCCGTATAGTACTTTCCATTTCATTGCTATTCTAGATAACGCTAGTGTTTCGTAGTGTCATGCTTAGCTTTCCGTTTCAGGTGATTGGGGCGGCATGGACACCATGCTTCCACCTGTCGAGGGAAACTTGCTCTCACAAGCTGTTGTGGGTCAAAAGGGGTGGATGGAGAAATCCTTGCAACTGTTGGGTTCCCCTTCATACCCCTAAACCCTAAACAATTGTAACCCCTTATCATAGAGGCGCCTTCAAGAAGGACGGGGGTCTACGCCCCACCTTGGGTTTATATGTTCCTTTGGGAGACGGCAAGTTCTGGGGTGGTCGAAAACGCTTTCCTTATTTAGCCCCTACCCTGCTGCGGATGGAGTTTAAGGAGGTAATAAGGACTACTTATGGCTTAATAAGGCAAAATCGGAATCTAATTATCTAGGGGGTTCCGTTGGGTGGGTATTATTATAATCCCTTGTATGAGGTTCAGGCAAAAGATTCTGGAGTGGCTTACAGCCACCCTAAACCCTAAACCCTAAATCTCAACCCCAACGTCGGCACCATCGCAGTGCTGGCAGAACATTATCTTTAGGGTTTAGGGTTCAGTGTTCAGGGCTTAGGGTTTAGGGTTGACAGCTAGAATGTTCCGCTGTGCCAAGAAATTTGGAGTCACGTGTCTTCTAATTGCAGGGAAGGTTTGATAATTAGAGCTCGGGGCAAGTAATACAAATATATATATATACGTACAGTTCGAAAATCGCAGAGGCCAAGAACTCGTAGTATTCAACAGATGCTTTGCACTCAAATAGTCTGTCATCACTCCTTGTGTTTGCTGATAATACTCCAAGGCCACAATTCTTGGACTAGCATTCGTAGGGGGGCTACAAATTGCAGACCACATTGCACCCTACTTAGTCCACAAGCGGCGCACTTGTGGAAGTCCTTGTCTATTCCCTGAGCCCTACGACACCATAAACTCTAAACCCTAAACCCTAGAGTAGGTCTACTTTGAGAAGCTTTGTTGCTCTCGCTTGGGAAGCTGAAGTAAGCCCATCAGGCTACCCGGGCTCTAACCATGACTATAGTGACTATAGTCCCCCTTAAGTAGACAGAATATGGAGTATATGGGGACCTTCTTATAGTATACCCAAAGCCATATTCTATCTATTTAAGGGGCCGGGGGACTATAGTTTCAGAGTACTAACTACTAGGGTTTAGGTAGCACGTGAGGAGGGCAAACAAAATGGGAGAACGACCCGCTTCAAGCAAGATCTTCCCTTTTCTGGGCGAATGCTCACGCCGAACCCTAAACCCTAAACCCTAAAACCTTAAACCCTAAACCTTAAAAAGCCCTAAAGCTTTCTGATCACAAGGACGAGACCCGCTGATGCCATGGAAGGGCTACGGTTTGCCCAAGCCAGGCTGAAAATCAACATGCCCAATATAGTGCCATCATCTAGGGGGTTATACGGGGTTTAGGGTTTAGGCATTAGGGTTTAGGGTTGAGGATTTAGGGTTTAGGGATTAGGGTTTAGGGTATTAGTTATAGTCCAAACTACTTAAAGAGGGTTATATAGGGGGATTATACAGGGGAGTATTGTAGGGGTTATTAAGGGGGATACTAGGAGTCTAGACTATGGCTCATATAGTACCATCATATTACCTACAGGCAAAACTCCTCAAAGGGGGTTTTATAGGAGGTCAGGGGAGTATTAGAGGCTCTAATACTCCCCTGAATTGAGGGATTACCCCTAAACCCTAAACCCTAAACCAGGGTGGTTTGATATGATTCCTGTCCTCTTGAGGAGATCTAAACTGGAGCTTGCACGGGAGGTAGCGGTGAATGTAGGATGTTTCGCAGAAGCAGGGTTTATAGAGTAGCGATTCGTAATTACCGGGAGTTCAAATTTTTTTCTCCGTATAATCCTCGCATAATAATGGTACAAGTATGTAGGTGGTCTTCTACAGTACTATCCCTGTAAGTCCAGTTCCCATTTCATGTTCCATTTTCTTTTCCGTGAACGACGTATGGAGACGAGATGTGGGGGCTACACTACAGGTTTCCTTGTTTGGTTTAAGTTGCTATTCACCCGATCTCACGCAAGAGGTGGCGTACTTAGGAAGTGGTCCCGCCATGACTTTGTCTCAGGGTCCCGAATTTCATGACTCCTTAACCCCCTCGGAGTTCAGACTAGGTTCATGCAGAACAGAGGCCTTTTTGGTTGTAAGTTGCCCGGATTGGAGGAACCCTCAACCCTTAAACCCCTAAACCCTAAATCCATTAACCCTAAACCTTGGCAGAAGACGTACGTCTCAGAAGAGCGGCAGTCTTTGTGCCAGAAACCTCAAGAAAAGATTTTCCTCGAGGTCTTCACAAATTTACTGTAGTGGTACCTTTAAAGGGGCTCATAGGGGGTTATATAGGGTTTGGGGTTCCCCAAATTTAGGGGTACCATTTTGGGGGTCCATATGCTAAGGACTATAATAGTTTCGGAATCTAGATTGGGGTCCCCCTACTTTGGGCAAGTGCCCCTTGTTTTAGTCGACATGGTAGCCCTGCCCCGAATGATGCTTTCAACCGCAAAAAATGCTGCACGGTCATCCCTGCAAAATCGTTCCTGATGTGTGGAACTGATTGTTTAGGGTTGAGGATTCCCAGGGTTTAGGGTTGCATAAAATCCTTCCCCACCTGTTCCGCCTGCAGCTGACAGTCGACCTAAAGTCTTGCAGGCCCCACCCCATTTCCACGGACGCGCTGGAACAAGAATCATGATTGGCTGATGTGCAATCACTATCAGTTCGTCGAGTGCCTGGGCTTCCAGTATCACTGGTTTAGGGTTATCTTCCTGGTTCGTAGTAGGTAATATGGGAATATTTATATACTCCCTAGATAATCCCATATGTAATATGTTCCCTCATTCCGTACTAAGAACCAGTAAGTTAAGGGTTAGGACGGTTAGGAGTGATTTTGGCTTGACTCGCATGGAGCCCAGCTTAAAAACAGATTTCTGGCATGGGGTCCAGGTTTGTGTTGACTTCGTGTGCTCGGCATCCCGTTCTCTGAGCCAGTCTACGACCTAAACCCTGAACTCTAATCGCTGAAAACCCAGAACCCTATCTATACCTCCAACACCGATCATATATGGGAGTATTATGAGGCTTATTGAGGGGATACTGTCACCCTAAGCCCTAAACCCTAAACCCTAGTACTGAGAGCTTAAACTATAGCTCATGTAGTTTTCAAAGTTGTTGTTGCCATTCCTTCTTCCGTACAAAACCAGCTGCAATCCGAAGTTTGGTTTAAGGTTTAGGGTTTAGGGTTTGGGTTTAGGGTTTAGGGTTTGGGGTTTAGTGTGTAGGGTTTAGGGTTTAGGAACCCGCATAGTACCTTTTTCCCTCGTTTCATTTTGGGGTTTTCTTACGAAAGCTGAACATTAGGAAAAGGGGCGCCCGTATTATTGAGGGTTTACTGGGGAACCAAGGCTAAAATCTCTATAAGCAGCTGTTTCCACTTCCATGTTCTTCATTTTTGCTTCTCCATCACTTACTCACATCTCCATCCTAGTAAGCCTACGGTGTTGAAACCCCAAACCCTAGATGCTGTTATATCCTGTATACCCCTACATCCTCCTTTTTAAGCACCCAGCCCTGAACCCCAAGGTGTCCTTGAAACCCTAAACCCCAGAGCCGAAACAACCTTAAATCCTAGACCCTAAATCCTTGATCCCTAATCCTAAATCCTTAACCCTAAACCCTAAATCCCTTAACCCCTAACCCTAAATCCTTAACCCTAAATCCTCAGCCCTAACCCTAAAACTCTTAGCCCCAAACCCTAAGGTGCTACAAAACCTGGGGATGGAGCTGTGCCCCTGGCTGTGGCTTTGACAAACATGTGGACACGCAGCCGCAGATTTTGGTTGCAGAGGCCATGTGCCTCTGACCGCAAGAGGATAGGTTTAGGGTTTTGGGTTTTTAAGGTTTAGGGTTTAGGGTTTGGGTTTTTTTAGGGTTTAGGGTTTAGGGTCTAGGGTCTAGGGTTTCGGGTTTAGGGTTTACAGCTTCGGGTCTGCGTTTTAGGCTTTTGCGGTTTTTCTTATGCTGGGTAGTCAGGGTTATTACTGCTACTAATATATTCATTAGATTCTTCTGCTGTTATTTTGTGGGTCCAGTTGAGCCCCTAAACCCTAAATCTAAACCGCGTTTCCGGCTTGGTCCGTCTTCTGAGTTGTCTAGAGTCTAGAACCTACAATGGCGGAACTGGCTTGCTTTGAAGGAGCTTAAGTACCATGATGTGGATACACCAATTACTGTTGTTCCTGAATACCCTTTATGGTGACTTGCTAACAGCTTCTTGACAGCAACCTTGGGCATTCAATACGCACGCCGGGTCATCAAAGAAAGTTGGAGCAGCATAGGGTTTAGGGTTCTGTTCCGGGTGTTGTCTCGCTTTCAGGAAAGAAGGCCGGAAACCCCAAGCAGTCTTGGCGACTGGACTCAATGTTCCGGAGAGCCAGGCCCTACAACCAGTTGTCCCAAGTTTCCACACGTGAGTTTCCCAACTCAAGCCCTAAACCCTATGAATCCTGAATCCGAAACCCCAAACCCTTTAAATCCTGAACCCTAAACCCAAAACCCAAAACATCCTTAACCCTAAACCCAAAACCCTAAAAATCCTGAGCCCTAAACCCAAAACCCTAAAAATCCTGAACCTTAAACCCTAAGCCCTATAGACCCTGAACCCTAAACCCAAAACCCTATAAATCCTGAACCCTAAGCCCTAAGCCCTAACCTCTACATGTATAGAACCCCTCAAGCGACCCCCCCCTCCCCCCAAAGTCTCCTCAGAATCCCTATCTTCCTATTTTCAGTGTACCCCTTTTGGAGAGGGGCCTCTGGTTTAGGGTTGTGGGGTTTAGGTTTTAGGGTTCAGGGTACAGGGTTTGAGCTGCAACTTAGGCGGAAAAGAGCTGAGAAGATGTGGCCCCGCTTCATCATGTGCCTTGGCCCATGTACCCTTGTTGCGGGTGGTTCAGGAGTATGAGAGGGCATGGGGTAGGAGAGGGAGAGACATTGTAGCATAACCCCAATGTTACGGAAACCCTAAACCCTAAACCCTAAACCTTAAACCCTAAACCCTAAACCCTAAACCGTGTCCAGCTAGTTTGGGGGAGAGTCGAATCCTCAGCTTGGGAATCAGAGGGCTCAACCTGCAAACTGTTAAACTTGTTTGGAGAGGGTTTAGGGTTTAGGGTATGGTCGGCAACTGTGCTGTTCATGCATGGGTGGTGTCAAGGTCATTTTGGAATCCCTATGTAGGATGCTTTTGTTGTTTCTGTAGTCTCAAGCTTAGTCAAAGGCAGGAAGGTTTGCCACATGAAGTTTGAGTCACTATGTGCTTGACTACCTGGCCCTACTTCTAGATGCTTTCGGTATTGAGGTAGATTTAGTCACTGATGCATTTGACAAGGTCTCTGCAGAGGGAATGTAGGGGGCTTATGTAGAGATATTCACCCAAAACGGAAGATGGCAAACAACGAATAGAAGCTGTTGATTTGGAGGGGTTTCTGGGCATGATGTCCGATGCCTATACCCTTTAATCGCTTTAGTATTAGTTTGGGATGCCTCTCAAACAGACCCAAATCATTTTGGTAGTCATGTAGGCGTCTACATTACTTCAATACCCTGACTCCGCGGCACGATCGTCTATGCCAAGACATGTCCGTAGAGCACTCTTGCCTGATTGACTTATACTTCTCCGTGGCATGAGACCTTGCAGGCAAGGATGTGGTCACGTACTCAGAGGTTTGAGAAATGGGAAGTGCGTGCATAGTAGCACAATATGTGCATGTTTCTCGTATTCTACATGTACATAATTGGGCGTTTCATACCTTTTGGCAAGGTTCTCATGATGTTAGGTTCTGTTTTACGGTGTCTGCGTCGAACGCAACGTCAGCCGCACATGTGAGCCCTTTGTTTGTAGACATCCTAATTCCGAAGCCCCTATACAGCTCCTTGAGGGAGGGGTCAATGCCACCCTTTCCTAAACCCTAAACCCAAACCCTAAACCCAAACCCTAAACCCTAAACCCTGAACCCTACACCCTAAATCCTACTCCAGAAACGTGGGCGACAACTTCTACTGGGGAGGTATTGAGCCTGAGCAGCAGTGGTTTTGCCTGCCTTTGACTGGATCAATGTTAGGGATCCTTTAAAGAGGGATATAGGGGTTATGTAGGGATGTTATAGGGATATTATAGACAGAGATATATATATACACATATATAGGGTTTAGGGATCCTTCATGCTTTTTGGGGTATGGGATTCCTTACATTTATGAAAAAATGATCCTTTTTTCTTCCTAGGGTAATGTTGGCTAAGTTGAGTTAAAGTTCAAAGAAGATGGCAACCACTCTGAACTTTAG